AACAAGGGCCTTACTACTAGTAACAAGAAACTACTAGTAACAAGTGCTTCGCTACTAGTAACAAGTGCCTTACTACTAACTAGTAAAAAAACTAATAGTAACAAGTGCATCGCTACTAGTAACAAGTGCCTTACTACTAGTAACAAGTGCCTCGCTACTAGTAACAAGTGCCTTACTACTAGTAACAAGAAGCTACAAGTAACAAGTGCATCGCTACTAGTAACAAGCGCCCTACTACTAGTAACTAAGAAGCTACTAGTAACAAGTGCATCGCTACTAGTAACAAGTGCTTAGCTACTAGTAACAAGTGCATCCCTACTAGTAACAAGTGCATCGCTACTAGTAACAAGTGCCTTACTAGTAGAAACTAAGAAGCTACTAGTAACAAGTGCCTCGCTACTAGTAACAAGTGCCTTACTAGTAGTAACAAGAAGCTACTAGTAACAAGCGGATCCCTACTAGTAACAAGTGCAAGGCTACTAGTAACAAGTGCATCGAGACTAGTAACAAGTGCCTTACTAGTAGAAACTAAGAAGCTACTAGTACCAAAATGCATCGCTACTAGTGACAAGTGCATCGCTACTAGTAACACGTGCCTTACTAGTAGTAACTAAGGCGCTACTAGCAACAAGTGCATCGCTACTAGTAACAAGTGCATCGCCACTAGTAACAAGTGCCTTACTAGAGAAGTAACTAGGAAACTACTAGAAACAAGTGCATCGCTACTAGTAACAAGTGCCTTACTAGTAGAAACTAAGAAGCTACTAGTAACAAAATGCATCGCTACTAGTAACAAGTGCCTTACTACTAGTAACAAGAAGCTACTAGTAACAAGTGCATCGCTACTAGAAACAAGTGCCTTACTACTAGTAACAAGAAGCTACAAGTAACAAGTGCATCGCTACTAGTAACGAGTGCCCTACTACTTGAAACGAAGAAGCTACTAGTAACAAGTGCGTCGCTACTAGAAAAAAAGTGCCTTACTAGTAGTAACAAGAAGCTACTAGTAAAAAGTGCTTAGCTACTAGTAACAAGTGCATCGCTACTAGTAACAAGCGCCTTACTAGTAGTAAGTAAGAAGCTACTAGTAAACAAATGCATCGCTACTAGTAACAAATGCATCGCTTCTAGTAACAACTGCCTTACTAGTAGTAACTAAGAAGCTATTAGTAACAAGTGCATCGCTACTAGTAACAAGTGCCTTACTAGTAAAAACTAAGAGGCTATACTAGTAACAAGTGCATCGCTACTAGTAGCAAGTGCACCGCTACTAGTAACAAGTGCATCGCTACTAGTAACAAGTGCCTGACTAGTAATAACTAAGAGGCTATACTAGTAACAAATGCATCGCTACTAGTAACAAGTGCATCGCTACTAGTGACAAGTGCCTTACTAGTAGTAACTAAGAAGCTACTAGTAACAAGTGCATCGCTACTAGTAACAAGTGCATCGCTACTCGTGACAAGTGCCTTACTAGTGGTAACGAGAAGCTACTAGTAACAAGTGCATCGCTACTAGTAACAAGTGCATCGCTACTAGTAACAAGTGCCTTACTAGTAACTAAGCGGCTATTAGAAACAAGTGCATCGCTTCTAGTAACAACTGCCTTACTAGTAGTAACTAAGAAGCTATTAGTAACAAGCGCATCGCTTCTAGTAACAAGTGCCGTGCTAGTAGTAACTAAAAAGCTATTAGTAGCAAGTCCATCGCTTCTAGTAACAAGTGCCTTACTAGTAGTAACTAAGAAGATACTAGTAACAAGTGCACCGCTACTAGTAACAAGTGCCTTACTACTAGAAACTAAGAAGCTACTAGTAACAGGTGCACCGCTACTAGTAACAAGTGCCTTACTAGTAGTATCTAAGAAGCTACTAGTAAAAAGTGCATTGCTACTAGCCCTGAGAATCCAATCTTGATTAGAATCAGTATATTGATTTTGATGTCTGCAAAATCAATATCTCATATTTTTCTGAATCAATTTTTCAATTGAAAAAACAATTGTTTCTGGACCCTTGAATCAATATATGTTTCATTATTTTTCAATATCCTACACCACCAGAATCAATATTTCAATCAATAGTTCATTGAACTGGGTCTGCTATGTACAAGCACCTTTTCCAAGGACTGCTATGTACAGACACCTTTTCCAAGGAGAATCTATCGCCTTTTCCAAGGATTAGACTTTTTCCAAAATCTTTGCCAAAGCCTTTTCCAAGGCTGCTGGCCCACATTGCCTTTGAAGGTTTGCCTTTTCCAAGGCCACTGTGCCTTTTCCAAAGTCACAGATCTTCCAGGTTGTCCTGATCCATTTTCCTGGTCAGCAGGAAGTGGACCAGAACCCTGTACTTGGGGACAACCTTCAGTGTGAGCTTGGTGGAAAACTCACACTGTGGGCCAGCTTGCTGATGTGCCCTACATAATCCTCACCCAAGAAGCACATATGCTTGGTAGGGTTCATATATTTGCTATTCCATAGAAGATGTATGAAACTGTGGTGTTTGGCAACAATTGCAAAACTGTTTCTGCCCTTTTCCAAGGACCAAGCATGAAGCCACTTGCAAGCGTCCAAGAAGTCTTTTCCAAGACTCATGGCTTTTGCAAATTCTCTGGGTGTGAGGAATGTGCCAGCATCGCACCAAAGCTGCACCAGCTTTTCCAAGCTGCAGACTGCTGTGTGCATCTTTTGTTCACTGATCTCTGTGGCCCCTTCAAAGAGCTTTTCCAAGACTGGGACCGGAGCTGGCGGCAAACGCTTGGCTTCTCCAGCCTTGCAATCCAAACTGGCTTTGCTTACCCATGGCTTTTGCTGCATCAGTGAACATAGACAGCTTTAAGTTGGTTAAGCGATGCTCCAAGCTTTGCTCTCTATACTGCTCTTGGATTTCAGTGAAGAGCATAGCAAGCCTTTCCCAAGGCTTTTTGACAGGCACCTTTCCAGGGCCTTCATAGTAGCATGCATAATGCAAGATGCTACCAATGACATGACTGTAGAGCCCTTGCAAAACAGTATGTGCGTTGGATCCCCTCGAACATTCTTGCTGGACACATGGGGCAGTTGGAAGATCTCATGTGAACTCCATGGGTCGGCCAAATGTTCAGCATGGGTCCCTACTATAAACTTTTGCTTTTCCAAGCAGATCTCTCTGTAGTTCAGGGATGCTTCACACCCAGCCCAATTCTGGGCATTGCACTCCCAGCAGGGGCGATGTGCAGCCCAGTGTGGGAGCTTCAAAGTGTTCGAATAGAACTCATGGTCTCCCATGACACACCACAGATGTGCAAAGTACCCTCCAATCAATGGCTTTCCAGCCTGTGCAAAGAAGGGTGACCCCTTTTCTAAGGGGTGCCCATCTGGATCAGTCATAGGATGAAACCCTTTTCCAAGGGCTTCAAATGACCATTTAATCCACTTCCACATTGGTGCCCAAGTACTCTTCCAAGCACATGATTTGGGGTAGCGTGCCAGCAACCAATCCCCTCTTGAGCGACCCACCACTCTGGCCCATCATGGTGCCCCAGGAGTACACAAGCAAGGTGTCTATGGAATGGAATTCCACCATCGCCATGAAGGAAAAGAGGTATGCACCTTTCCTCCCAGTCCTTTTCCAAGGACATGGGATGGCTTTCCAGCCTGTCATCTTCCACCTGCTGAACTCCTCTCCAGAATTTCTGGAGTTTGCCTTTTCCAAGGCCAAACTCTTCTTTGAAGAAAGTTGGGTAGTGGTTGCCCAAATGTGAGAACATCAAATGGGGAAGGTATATTGATGCAAATTCTTCCTTTCCCAAGGATGTCTTTGGGTCCACACACCCAACTTTCACTTGGAACCCCTCAGGAAGGAGGCAGTTGCCCTGCTGGGCATTTCAGGTAGGGCTGTGCTCTGCACCATCCTGTATAGCAAGATCTGCTAGTTCCCTTATCGTGGCAGCAGACAGCATGCCATGTGCCCACAATCCCAAAAGCTTGTTGGCCAATTTCGATCGTGGGCCACCTGCCTTTTTCAAGGCCCTGCTTCTTTACCTTTCCCAAGGCTGGTACTGGCACTCTGCCAGATTCCATTTCCATTTGCCATCCTCTCAACCTCTTACACATGATAGCCTTTTCCAAGGCTACCAAACCCAAAAGCAGCTGCAGCAGAGATGCATTCACGCTTCAAACAGTAGCAACATTTACACATGTCGTGGCCAGTGGTGGCATAGGGGATTGGAA